CTTCCCAGATGGGGTCCCCGGGCCTTGCCTCACCCTACCCCTCCGCTCCCCAGTCTCTCCCCTGCAGGGGCAACGGTTTCAAAAGGCAGGGTGGACGCCCCCTGCTGGATGGGCTCAGAGTCCAGTGCTGGGTAGGCCCTGTGCTGGGTCCATCACCCTCCCAGCCCCTGCCTGTGGCCTCTCAGCACCCACCGAGAGCCCCCCTACTGCCTGCCAAAGAGGGGAGCTCTGCCCTGCCTAGACCAGCTCATGGCCTTGGCCCTTGAAGAGAACAGAGTCAGGAGATAGAAACCACAGGACGAGTGAGGTCCTGGGCACATCTCAGGCTTGAGCACCCTCTCTCCACGACACTGGTGCCCCTAGAACGCTGCCTGACCCACCGTTAGTCTTCCTGTGCCTGCCTTTCAGCGCCGGCCACAGCCCGGGGCCTCGGGCCACGCTTCCCCACTGGCCCCCTTTGCTCCCCCTGCTCGGAGGTCCTCCTCCCCCAGCCCCCCAAGTCTAACCCCTGAAGGCCTCTCTATCCTCTTCCTGGCTGGCTCCCGCTGCCTGCTACATCTGCACGCTGACTGTTAAACACAGCCGTCATTAAAATTTAAATTACACAAACTTACAATTATATAAATTATATTGAGCACAAAGGTAATACGTAGTCAGAACTCATCACTTCCTAATTATTTCTGTTACATTTGACTATTATCTGTGCTTCTTAGGTTATTTACATCTATTGATACCCTGAGGTGGGAAAACCATGTAATTATGTGATACTGCCTCATCTCCTCCCACCCGCACTGCAAGTGCGCACGGCACTCCCCCCTCCCAGCCCCCAGCCCCGCGGCGGTTTGGGTACCGGGTATGGGACTCCAGCCAGACCCGGGGAACCGCATGTACACACAGGAGGGGGACCCCTGCATCCCCTCTCCGTCTGAGCGCGCAGCTAGTCAACCTGGCGTTCCTCCTCTGAGGGTTGGGCAAGGCGGCCCTTCATTCGATTGTCTAGACTTCGGAACTCTAGGGAGGGAGAGGAAGCCGCAAGCACGACCAGGGTCGAATCTCGCCTGCCCTGGGTCCCGGGACCAGTTACAAGGATTTGAAGGAGGCAGAGACACGCAGTAGAGCGCCCTCCCCTCCCCCCGCCACCTGTCTGAGTAGAGCCCGCGTGTCTGCGCAGGTGTCCCGCAGAGCGCCTTCTAGCGGACGCCGCGCTCCGCAGAGGTCGCCCGCGGGACCAAAGGGTCCGGGGCCCTTGACCGTCCGACGTCTCCTCCCCTTGGGGCTCCGTACTTCCCCACCGGCGTCCCCAGCACCCCAGGACGTTGCCCCAGGGCCCCTCCTCCCCTTCTGACTCAGTCTACTCCATCCTGCGGGGGTGGGCAGGGGCGGCTGGGAAGTTGGCCCTCAGTGCCAACCGCCGATGTCTCCCCCGGCGGTAAAAGCCCAAGTCCCTGCCCTGTGTCCGGGCAAGCGTCCGCTGCTCCTGGGGCTCCGGACACGAGGCTCGGCCTAGGGTTCCTGCTCCATCCACACAGCCCGCCCCGGCCCCGCTGGGCTCCTCTCCCGCGCCCACGCGATCTCTGCGCCCGGGATAGCTTCGCCCCCAGGGTCCCGAGGGGAACGGCCTCCCACTAAACGGCAGGGAGGTCACCCCATCCGGTCTCGGGTTGGGAGTGGGGGCAGAAGCTCTCGCGTCCCTCGCACAGGTGATTCCTCCTGAGGTGCGTGCTGGCCTGGGGCTCTCGGGTCACAGACCCGCGTGGGACGCTAGTGGCCAGCCCCCTCCCGCGGCCTGGGGCCGGGCCGTGAGCCGCA